TCATTTAGTTCACAGAAAATGCTATGGCCTAGATTCATTCTTCAGGTTTACAGCCATTCTTTACAATACCATTTGATGAAGAGGCTATCTTTTCTCCAGCATATGTTCTTGACTCCTTTTGTCAAAGATCAGGCTTCTGAATGTTCCTCGGGTTGTTTTTGTAACTTCTATTTGATTATATTGATCTACAGCTTTGTTGTTATTGTTGTTGTTTCTGGGTTTTTTATGCCAGTTCCATGTTGTTTTTGTGTGTCAATGTTTCTTTGTAATGTAACTTGAAATCAGAATTGTGGTGCACTTTGCTTTTTTGTAACTCAGAATTGCTTTTCCTATCCTGGGTCTCTTCTAGTCATCCATGAATTTTAGGATTATTTATTTAGGTCTGTGAGGAAAGCTCTTGGCATTTGGAGTGGAATTATTTTAAGCCTACACATCTGCTTTGGAAATGTGGAGATTTTGACAATGTTGTCTCTGGAAGACTCCCAAAAATCTTTTAATGCCTTCTTAGGATTAGCTGCTAAGTATTCAGTTATTTCTAATTTAGCATGAATGGTCTTGTTTCCTAATTTCTTTCTCATTGGGTTTGTTATTGGTGTACAAGAGTGCTACTTACGTGTGTGAATATTTTTAACCTCTTGTTTATTTATTTGTTCCTTTTCTTTTCCTATATGTATCTCTTTTATTTTGTCCACTTGCCTCATTTTTCAGGTTGCAAATTTGATTACTACATTGAACATGAGTAGTGTTAGTGGACATCATTGTCTTGTTCCTGATTTTAGAATAAAACCTTTCAAATTTTTCTTCCTCCTAATGTGATCTCAGCAGTATGTTTTTGATGGCTTTTATCAAATTTAGAAAATGTCTTTCTATAACATATTTGCTTCAAGGTTTTTATTAGAGCAGATGATGCATTTTTAAATTCATTTTCTGGGTCTATTGAGATGATCATGTGATTGTTTTCCTTGCTTCTATTTATGTGATGCATTGCATTTAGTGATTTGTGTGTGCTGAAGTATTTTAGCATCCCGGGGATGAAGTCTACTTAATCCTAATGTACGGTCTTTTTAATTGTTGCATTCTGTTTGCTGGCATCTCATTAAGGATCTTTATATTCATTGGAGAGATTGACTTATAGCTTTCTTTTTTGTTGGGTCCTTTCTGGTTTAAAAAAATAAAAGATTATGTTGGCTTTCAGGAATAAGTCTGACAGTACTCCTTCTGGCATAAGTTATTAAATAGCAGAATATTGACTTTCAATCTTCCATGGAGTTATTGTAAAATTTAGTGGTGAGTTTTTGGATTCCTTGTAAAATCTTACTTGGTAGGGGTTTTTTTGTTTTTTTTTTTTGTTTTTGTTTTTTACTACTGCCTCAATTTTATTGTTTGTTACTCTATTGTTTAGCTTTTAAAATCTTTTTGACCTAGTTTTAATAATTAATATATATCCAGGGATCCATTCTGTTGTCTGGATTCTCCCGTTTGTTGGGGTTCAGAATTTTGAAGTAGTTGCTAATAATTTTTTTATATTTTGTGTTGTCTATTGTGATTTCCCTTTTTTCATTTCTAATTGAATGATGCACATTTTTCCTTTCCTTTTTCCTGGCTAAGTGCGGGTCTGTCGCGTTTATTCTTTTGAAGAATCAATTTTTTGATTCAATGATCCATTTCTTATATTTTAATTTGAATTCCATGAATTTCTGCCTTGCTATTTATCATTTCATTCTTTGCACTACATTTTTAGTTGTATTGTTTTTCTTTTCCTAGGACTTTGAGGTACAGCATTAGACTAATTATTTGGGTTTATTCTGTTTTTTTAATATGAGCATTCACTTCCTTTTTAGGACTGTTTTCTTGTCTCCCGTAACTTTGTTACGTTTTATTGGTAATATTGTTTGATTCCAGAAGCTACCTAATTTCTTCAATTTTTCATGTGACCCATCAATTATTCAAAAATGTTTCATTTAGGGGGCTGGGGATTTAGCTCAGCGGCATAAGCACCTGCCTTGCAAGCAGGTGGTCGTAAGAGTACCCATAAAAATGAAAAAGACAAAAAAAAAAGTACCCTGGTACCCATAAAAATGAAACAGACAAAAAAAAAGTTTCATTTCATTTCCATGCATTTACATAGTTTGTTTGGTTCTTTTTTTCCTTTGATTTTTAATTTCCTTGTACTAGGATTCAAAAATACACAAGGGATAATTTTGACTGCTTCTATATTTACTTAAGCATGTTTGTGGGTTAGTAGATACCCTGTTTCTAAGACAGTTTTGTGTGCTGCTTAGGAAAGCATGTATTCTGTTTCTGTTGGGTAGAACACTCTGTAGTTATACCTTAAAACAATTTGTTCAGAAACATGCATCAACTGATATTTGTATGTTGATTTGTCTAGCTGGTTGATATGTGTATTTATGATATTGTTGTATTGAATCTCTCTCAATATTTTTGTTGATAATTATTGAATCTCTTATGTCCAGTAGTATTTGTTTTATGAAGCGGTCTGTGTCACTTTATGGTATGGATACATTTACAACTATTATCTCTTCTTATTGATTATTCCATTAATGAGTATCTAGTGACCGATGCCATAGATAATAACATTTGGAATCATTTCTCTTATTAAAAATATATTATACCAACCTACATCACAAAGTAAAAAGTTTTAGTAGAAAATACTATAATTTTAAAATATTTTTTCTAAAGTTTTTGAGTACAAATATCATTATAGTTTCACTGTTGGTTATATTTTTGGTGTCACAATTTGATATATTCAAAAATTTTCTCAAATAGAAGCACCAATGTGAAACTGATTTTCAAATATAGTGATATACTTTTAAAGCACAGTTGAAGGGCCAGCAATACAGCTCAGTGGCTCAGCAGTGCAGCCTGGCAAGTGCAAGGTGCTGAGTTCAATTTTTAGTACCAGCAAATAAATAAACAAAAATAAAAAAGACTTGTCACTGTTTATTCCACCGTACTTTTTAGGAACTCATACCACAATCACTTTTAAACATCTTAGAAACTCATGTTCCAAATAGGAATTCTTGGAAGGATGCCCATTTGTTTTTGGAGGATGTTCATCTGTTTTTGTTAGAAAAGAATGAAACACCTCTGAGTTTTAGTTCCTTATGTGACCCTTAAGGAGATAAGTAAACTTTGCAGTGACTAAGATTTTTTTTTCTCAATGTTTTGACTTCCTTTAGCACATTATTCACATTTGGTTTTATTCATGGGAAAAATGCTCATAGAATTTAATTTTTCTGGCCTACTACTTTCTATTCTTTTATATATTTTCTTTATAATAGTAACTAGTAAATACAGAGCCTGCCAAAAAATAAAAAGATACATACACAAAGATAAAAAACTTGTATAAATATTTTAATGTAAAACTATTGAGACACAATGAGATTAATACAAGTTACCCTTTACCTCTAAAATTAAAAGAGGTATTTAAAGTGGTGGTCCCTACCTTCCAGACATTTTTTAGCATGGCAAACTTCGGTTGAGTGACCTTCATCATTGAGATTGCTAAACATATGTTTTAAATTTCTTCTCTAAAGGCCAGAAGTGTAATGGGTTTTCTGCGACATGTTTTAGGGTTCCGCATACCAGGATAACGCTGATGAAAAAGCATCATACTGAGAGGGGAGCCGGGAGCTGAGCCGTGCGGAGCCAGCCGAGCCGGAGAGCAGCACCCGCCGAGCTGCGCTGCACGCGCGCCTGTGCCCTTCCCTGAGCCTGTCCCGGTCCCCCGCCCAGTGGCCGCAGCGCAGCGCTGACGTCACGGCGCTCGCGGGGCTCCCGGCAGCGGGGAGCCGGCCTTTATTTCTCGTGGCAAAGTCAGTCCCCTCTCCCTCACCCTTCCGCCTGGCCCCGGCTCATGCGCCCCCCTCACCTGTCCACCTCCGTGTTTTGCTCCGGAGGGCGTTGCAGGGTGGGGGCGCGCAGGGAATGGCCCGGGGTGCAGCTGGGGGTGTCTGTGGGCTCGGGAAAGGGCTGCGGCGGGGCGCCTCGCAGCCGGGGGTGGGGGGCGGAGGGAGGCGAGGGGGAGGGGACCCCGGGTCCGAGGCTGAACGTGCAGGGTGTGGGAACATCCCGCGGAACCCAGGGCTCGCGGAGGGCGCGGGCAGGGGCTCACCGTGTGGTCCCCCAGCCTCTGCCCGCGCCCGCCCGCGACTCCCTCCAAAGCTCCGTTAACCTCGGTGCTCTCCGCGGGCGGCAGCGTTGCATGGAGAGAAAGGCAGCGCCGAGGCCACGCGCTCCCGCTCCCCCCCCCCCAGGCTCCCGCGTCCTTCCTCCTCCCCGCCAGGCTCCCTTGTCCTCCCCCCCCCCCCCCAGCCAGGCTCCAGTGTCCTTCCCCCTCCCCCCCCAGCCAGGCTCCAGTGTCCTTCCCCCTCCCGCCCCCGCCCGCCAGCCACACCCCCAGGGCGGGGTGCGCGCTCACCGGCGCAGCAAACTTGGAGCAGGCTGCTGGGTCTGTGGGGAGAAACTTGGGTTGTTGGAACTGGAAGAGCATCACTCTCCGGGTCCTGGAACCTGGGAGCTGCTAGGGCGGCCGGCCTCTCTGATCAGTGGAAGAAAGCCAGCTGGGCTTGGAGAGTCCTGGGGGCATGGGGAGAACCTGCCTGCCGCAGTGCCTGGGGCGAGGATTGCAGCGGGCCTGGAGGCCCACAGTGTCTTGGTCACAGAGCTGCGGCGCTAGGGATCCGAACCTGGTGGAGTCCCAGGACTGATCCCTGGACCGGGACCCTTGGGGCTTACCTAACATTTTAGGGTGGTTATCTTGGAGATGGTACATAGGACCTGGAATTGTCATATCCATTTCTTTGGCAGGTAACAGGAAGAGACACTTTCTCTGTCTTTCTCTCTCTCTCTCTCTCTCTCTCTCTCTCTCTCTCTCTCTTTTTATGCTTTAAATTTCATTTGGTCAGTAGTTTGTTGACTGCAAAGGTGTTTCAGGTTTTTTGATTTGCCTTAAGTAAAAATGATAGACAAACTTATAATACAGGACCATCAGAAAACTTTTATTGCTAGTGTTTTTTTTTTTATTAGTCATGAGAAACTATAAAAATATTATGCATATATTACTTCCTTTAGATTTCTTAATTCTTATTCAAATCATTATATCACAGGTTCAGTGATTATCTGTGTTTTCTGAAGGTGGGTTGTGTTAGATTTTGTTGCCTTGCCCAAATACTAAAAAAAATTAGTTGAAATGGAAAGACATTTTTGTCTCATGGCAGAGGTTTCAGTCAGATGGTTCCATTGCATTAGGACATTTGCAGGAATATCGTGGCAGGGTCATGGTAGAGGAAACCTGCTTCTCTTATGACAGCCAGGAAGAAGAGACAGCAAGATCCAGACAGGAATGAGGTAGAGACCAAATACACCCTTCAAAGCCAGTGACCCCAGTCACTGCTTTAACTAATTATTAATTACTATAATTCCTAATAAGATCACTCAGCTAATTAACTCCTCAATGGATTAATCTACTTGATGAAATTGGAGCGTTTATGATCCATATATACATTGGCTTTGAACACTCCTAATTAGGGATTAAACTTTGAAAAAACTTAATCTTTAAGAGGCATTTTAGATTCAAATTGCGGCAGGAGATTAAGTTTGCATTAAACTGGACAACCAACTCTGTGGTGTGTGCCACATCTCATGGAAAAGTGCAGTTATCATTAGGAAATGTGATGTTTCTTTTAAAAAGAAGATGTGTGCAAAACACTGCACCCAAAATGACTCCAAGAGGCCAGGGATACATCTCATCTATACAGGGTCTGCCTGCCAAATGCAAGGTCCTGATCGGTTCCTGGTACCAAAAATAAAACAAAATAAAATGCCTCTAAGCTTAATGCATCTGGAGCACTGTTCAGGGGAGCAATTAGCAAGTGATCGTCTCAAATCTTCATTTACAAATGGTCATACTAATCAAATGATGTTGTTCTTGCTCATTCATTTATATTTGGAAAAAGGGCAAGATAACTTTTTGATAGGACAATTTGCATGTGGTGAGAGGCCAAGAGAGTTTTTTTGAGGGAAAAAAGTCACAGAAAAGAAAAAAAGCAAAAAGGCAAACAATAACAAACTCAATACAATAACAGTATAGGTTTCCAAAACAGGATGATAAGAATTTGACAAAGGTTGTAATATTGCATATTGTTACCTTCAAAGGGTGGCTTAGATTAACAGTTATAGACATGTAAAAATGATCTAATCGTATAAGTATTAACTGTTCTTTTCCAATAACCAATACTATTAATAGTATATTCATTTTAGTTATGTTATGTATATATATGTATATATGCATACATACATATATGCATATATACATATATACATATATATGCATATATGAATGAATTTCTGTTTTGTTTTTCATTTTACTTTATTTTTTTCCTCCTTTCCCCTATCCTAGTTACTTTTCCTCTTTGAGCAGTTAGTTCCTGACCTTACACAGTTTTGGATCATATATACATTTTCAGTTTCTTACACCAGAGAGACAATATTTACACATGTGAGTTTGATGTATTTTATTTATTAGTAAGGTCTCATTACATCGTCTTACTTATAAAAGTCTCAATGTGATTTTTCATAGCTAAAGAGTATTCCATTGTATAAAAATACACGTCTTTTTTATTCATTCCTTGCTTGATGGCCACTTAGGTTGTTTCCAAGATTTGGCTATTACAAATTGTGCTGCTAAAAACATAGGTGGACATATATCACTGTGGTATGATGTTTCCAGTTCTTCTGGGAAAATGCCCAGAAGCAGGATAGCTGGCTCAAATGAAATCTCCAATTCTAGCTTCATAAGGAGTCTCTCCACTGATTTCCACAATGATTAAACCAGCTTACACTCCCACTAACAGTGGAGAAGGGTTCCTTTTTCCTCACAGTGCCTCCCACATTTGTAATTGGTTGGTTTCTTGATCTTGGCCATTCTTTCTGGGGTGAGATGGAATCTCAGTGTTGTTCTCATTTGCATTTCCTGAATGACATTGATGTTGAACTTTTTTTCATGTATTTACTTGCCATTTGTATTTTTTCAGCTGAGATGTGTATAGTCATCTCAAATACCCATTTTTGGGTTGGGGTCTTCGAATGTGAGGGGCCTGATTTTTTAAATTCTTTATATATTCTAGATAGTATTCCTTTGTCTGAGGTGCAGTTGGCTAAGATATTTTCCCAATTTGTAGGGTTTTCCTTTCATTCTGTTGGAGATTTTCTTTGACATGCAAAAACTTTTTAATTAGGTGAAATCTCAGTTGTTGATTCCTGCAAGTACTTCTCATGCAGTTTGATTTTTGTTCATGAACTCTTTGCATACTCCTATGTCATACAGATTTCTACCCACTGTGTCTTCAAAATGATTTAGTGTTTCTGTTCCAATATTTAGATCTTTGATTTCTTTTGACTTTCGTTTAGTGCATGGTGATAGACATGGATCTGGTTTTAGTTTTTGGCATACAGAGAGTCAGTTTTTCTAGCACCACTTATTAAAGAGACTGTCTGTCTTTCAGTGTACATGTTTGGCCCCTTTGTCAAAGATGAGGTGGTTGAATGTTTTGCTAGTTGTGGCTATATCTTTGAATCTATTTCATTGATCTCCAGGTCTGTTTTTATTCAAGTACAATGCTGATTTTATCACAGTAGCTTTATAATATACATTCAAGTGGGAGATTGTGATCAATTCTGCCTTACCTTTGTTACTCAGAACTGCCTTTGCTATTCTAGATCTCTTCAGGTTCCAGATAAATTTTAGGGATGATTTCTCTAGATCTGTAAGGTATGCAAGTGGTATTATGATTGGCATTGGATTAAATCTGTATAACAACTTTGGGAGAATGAGGTCTAGAGAGTTTTTATAGGGCAATTGTCCCAATTTCTTATTTACATGGGATAGGAGTTTTCCAAAGCATTTTGATAATAATTGAGCCTTTCTCTTTATCCTTTGGGCCACTGTGAGCCTTCTTCACCAGTGTACTCTTATAAATTGAATTTTGTTTTCTGCTTTCTGTTTTCAACAAGTCTACATTCTTGCTGCCTTTTCTCTGTGTCTAGTCCAAATCTCTGTTCAAGACATCATTCTTGTGAGTAGCATTGTTGAAGTCTTATGCAAACTCAGATTTATTATTCTGTCATTAGAAAAAAAGGAAGGAAATTCACACATAAGGAAATTCACACATAACGTTGCTCTACTCATATTTATTGAATGAATAAAACTTTTTATGAAATGAAATTTAATGTATTTAGTGTATGTGGAAAAAAGAGAGGAGGAAGAGAGAGAGAGAGAGAGCGTGAGAGAGAGAGAGAGAGAAAGAAAGGAGTTAATAAGTTGTGTTAATAGTTTTGTTAATAGTTGTGGCTTGGCATGTCCGGTACCAACATCTAGTTTCCTAGATTTAATTTAGGTAAGTCATTATAAGTAAATAAGAGCCTTATCCTTAATCATTGCAATATATTTCCAGTGAAAAAGTTTTTGTGTTTCATTCACTAAAAGCAGTCACTGGATGTAAGTTTTAAGGTCTATGAGGATAAGGACTGTGTTTGCATGACCCACGATTATAGCCACTGTGTTGATTCCAGATTTGTTTTCAGAATAGAAAATCAATACATTTTAAATGAGCGACAAATTTAATGAAGACTTGGTAGCAAAACTTTCAAAAGTAGCTAAATTTTACAACAGTGCTAGGAAAATTGATATGCAATCATGTGATTTATTCATTTACTAAAACATAAAAAAAGAACAAAAATGATGATACGGAATTTCAGACTAGCATAATAGGACATTAGCAATGGTTAGTATATCGCATATTGTTATCTTTGAAGTAGTTGCTCAGATTATGAGTTATAGGCATGAAAAAATAAACACTGAGTTTCCTTCTGTGTGTATGACAGTGTTTGACACTGGGGGATAAGAAATAAACAAAAGAGAGTAAGTTTGAATACACGCAGCTTACACTTTGAGTGAGAAAACAACAAGCAATGGGAGTGCACGTGTGCTGCGTGACTGGCATCGGAATCGACCACTTCCAAGTGTTCCGGTAATCTTGGGCCTTCCCTGCAATAAAAGCAGTGTATCCCTCCATGTGTGATATAACATGCTTTCGGAAAGGTAGTGGCATATTATTTCATAGAGCAAGCCTCCAGAAACCTTGTATGTTTTTCTTGACTGCTTTGTTCTTAGGTCTCTGCCATACTTTGATTTCTGTGCAAACATGCCCAGAGTAGACTAATGTATAAGAAAGAAAAGTGAAATGTGGTTGGCTGCCACTCAAATCAAGTGAAAGTCTGAAAAACTTCTAATTCTCAAATAACTTAAGGTGCAGGGGTAATATAATCCTAGCATTATGTGCTCCTGAGATTTTTTTTACCAGTTATGCTGTATTCTACAATAGGTTACTGGCACAAAGCAGTCTTAATATTATAGGTAATTAAATTAGGTGAAAATTAATAGGCAGTAAGAAAGGAACAGGCCCAGGAGGAAGTCAATGTGAAAATGAGAATATATCAAAACAGACTGGACTTATCAGAGACTCCTACAGTGAGACCCAATCTCCTGTCAGGTGCTACCATGCACAGAAGAAAGAAAGAAAAAGAAAAAGAGAAAGAAGCAAAAGAAAGATAGAAATGAAAGAAATGAGAAAGAAAATAAAAGAAAAGAGAGAGAGAGAGACAAAGTGGTGGTACAAGGGGATCCAGGATGACCAGTTGTTCACAAGGCTACACAGCAGCCACAAGGAAACTTGACCTCAGCATTTATTGATGGGGGAGGGGACGATCGGATGACAGTAATTTAGCAGGTAGCTGTGGTTTTACACTAATGAGAATCTTGCCCTGGAAATACTTTACTCTTCATAGTTTTAAACTTAATCTTAGTACATGGGAGAGGATGAGTTGCCCCTATAGGGATAATGGAAAATCTCAAAAGTGTGATACACAAAATTTCAAGCCTCTGTTAATCTCTTATGGAAGTGTGCAACACTAGCCATTGTGATTTTTGGTCCCTAACATGAAGGTGTATCTGAAGAAGGCAAGGCCTCAAGATTAAAATACAATGTACAGATTTACATACATCCCTAAAGGGTGAATGGGACTTAAGATTACATTGTAATTGGTATCATCCAGTCCATTAAAACTAGATATGTATTGGACACCCAGTGGGTGACCCAAACAGCTGGACTTATCCATTCTCAAAATGTTCTTGTTTGAGAAATCATAGATAACCATGGCTAGTGATGTCAGTCCCATACCCTGGCACTCTGCTTCCTATTGGATCAATAAGAGCTAAGTGGCTATATTTATATTCTTGCTGATTGATTATAGTTTGAACCATGTTGTATCCACATGCTGGACAAGTTGTATTTCACAGAGCCTTCAGTGACAATCCATTTCTGAGACCCCTCTTGTCTTTCAGAGACTATGTCTTAATAAATCTTTCCTATTCTTTACCTGCTTTGTCTTCTGGAATTCATTTTCAAACTTGGCACATCTGAACATGAGCAGGTTTGGTGTTATACTTTTCCTGTATCATTATCACATTTTAAGTGGTGATCATTGCTAGGGTGAAACAATAAATATAAAGCAGCTCAATGAGAAAATGTTGAACTCATCACATATTCACTGAGAAAGTGTAAAAAGTGAAGAGAAATTTGTGTAGAAATTAAGAATAAAGTGAGAATTCCAATTTAATATTTCTTTTGGCTTAGCTACACACTAAATAGGCCAGTTTCCTGCTTCCTGGTCTTCTCTCTCCTCCACACTTTAGAAAATTTGTAGTTGTAATTTCTGTATGAGATGTAAATATTTTTAAAAACTCCTTGGCGATTTTACAAGAGTGTTTCACTTGAAGGATGGAGAGGCAATCCCTCTGAAATGCATAATTTGATATAGGGCAAAGAAACTAGATGTCCATATGTGTTGTGTTCTCTAAAATTAAGATTGAATTTTTGAATCAACAGACGTTAAGAGCAGAGAAAGAAAATTTCTGTCTGAGAGATACACAGAAAGGGTCCCACGTGGATTGCCCAAGAAAGCCACAAGATGAGGCAGGTCCAACCTGGGAAAAGTGGGCACACAAGATGAGCAAGAGGTGGGACAGAATTATGGTCAACCAGTAAGATTATCAGTCTAATTGCTCAGGTAGCATTGATTAACTTAAGGATGAGGGCCTTTGCTTGTAGCAGCTGAATTAGTGGCCCCTTCTGGCTTCCTCAAGGTGATGTGTATCCATGCAGAATATCAATCCCTGATGTTTATCTTTAGGGTGTGACTGCATTTGTTTTGTCTTTCCTTTTGAGATCTGGCCCAAGGTGCTAGGTATTTGTTTTCCCTTACAGTTGCAAGGTATATGATCATGCTTATAACTGTCAAGGAAGATAGAATCTGTCCTAATGACTGAACATCTATGGGAGTATAAGAATGTAATATAGTTCTAAGTATGAAACTATCTCCTATCCTCAAAACAAGAGAAAGTAATTTTAAAGGTTTTATATGACATTCATAGAGAAATTTGTATGCTGGTGTTTGAAAACCAGTGTAGAATTTAAATGAATAATATTAATTATAATGATACATAATATTCCTAGTTACAGTTATACATAATATTCCTAGTTAATATAATTCCTAGTTCCACTAGGAATATGATATCAAGAGTAGAGTCTCTGATATAAAGGCCTTAACATTAAGACCAGTATCTTCTTCAAGCATAGGCCACCACACAGATAAGCTGTGAGATATCTGACATAAAAAGATAAAGACATATAAGGAGATATAAGCAGATAATTGTGAATAAAAGAAAGGCAGAAAAGATTTTTAGAATATGGGTGGAGAAAGGACTGAATATATAACAATATAAAAATTTACTAAGCTTTTGGAGTAGCTGAGAGAATGAATTAAATGTAAAGAAATCACTAAGAAGGGAGTAGAGAATGTCTGGAGAAACATAGCAGGTATATGACAGTTGGCCTTTTTCTTTCAAAAATGACTTTCAGTGTAGTCCACAGGACAATGAGCATATTTATCTTGTTTCTAATCTTTTTGAGAAATATTATGAACACTAACTTTTCCCCTTATTTCTTTTTCTTTATAACTGCTGTTTATTTTCTCTTATAACATTAGAATAATCATTAAATATATTTTCAATATTAATGAGATATGTGTATCCCAGCATAAGATTTAACTACCTGGTAATGATAGTACCAACAATAAGAAATACTGTACAATAGTGACCTGATCCAAATTCTGTTTAGATGTTATGCACTGCCAAAGTATTTACCCTGCTTCCTGGGCTGCAACAATTAACCTAAAAGGAATCAGGTAACAGCTTTTGGTATGGAGTGTTACTTTTAGTTACTTTTCTCTTGTTTCTCAGACAAAATGCCCAATGACCACGTGAAAGAAAGAAAGTGTTTATTTAGCTCACCGTTTTTAGACTGTGTAGTTTGTTTCAGTCCATAATCAGCTGGTTCCAAGGCAGGTGGCCTGACTGGGGGGCAACAGTTCAAGCTGCAGAAGACAACAAAGCAACAACAGCAAAAAGGGGAGAACAAACCTCTTTTCCTCTCTTACATTGTATGCAGGCTCTCCACCTTCTGCTGATCTAACACTCACACCCTCTGCCCCTCTCTGGCACAGTCTCAGAACCTTTCCCAAGTGAGGACCCTGACCCCCTGCTGAGTCCCTTAAACTTCTAAACTTTTCAAATTAATACAATATCCTAGAGCCCTAAGGGCATGTCCTCTACACTGTAGGATGTAGAAGTGCTGAGTTATCCGTATAAGCTGCTAAATTTCTCTAGTCGACACACTGCAAGGTTTTGGGGAGCAAGAGAGACCCACGGAACATTTGCTGTTAGTGAATTTTGCTGGATTGACATACCTGGTTCAAATTATTGTAAGTATTGGCTCCTACTGGCTTCTCCTCATTCTTTTTTTAGTTGGTGGTGACATTTTAATCTCATGGTAGAATGGAAGTCATAGACAAAGCATTAGTGTGCCCTTTTTTCCCACTTATTGCCTTCTGGGAGATGTGTGGATGATGTCTGGTAGATGAAATCCTCATTTCACTCCTCTAAATACATCTTGAAATCCAAGGAGGGACAAAGCAATTAGTTTAAAATAATTCATTCTTTAATGTTTATCCTTACATTCTCTCTCTAACTTTGTCTCCATCCAGGAATACCAGGTTGAATCAATAATCAAAATTGCTACACATATTTTTGTGAGTGTAAGTATCATGTACTTTTTTCATAGTACAGTCAATAAGGGTGTTAAAAATATGGAAAAATATACTTAATTATACAGAATTCAAGGAAGTCAAGGCATAAAAATGGCATTCAAGAAGTAAAGTTACACATATATCCTATTTAGAAAAGAGATATGTTGTAATACTCATAGATGGAAACCAAGTTGTCATTAAATGGGTTCAGACATGCTAAGGACAGATAAAAGGATTCTCTTTTCTGAAGGATAAATAACTTTGTGAGATAGGACAGTTTTTCACCAAATAAATATTTAAGCTATAAACAAAGACAATGTCCTTTGTGAGCACAGCAGAGCATCTATCAAATAGTTGGAAATTATCTGAATTTTACGAAATTTAGCTAAAATTTCAGACTAATTGTGAAGTACTCTGGGGATAACCAGTGACACCAGAACATATTCTTTACTACCTATTAAACTACAACACTATGAAGAATTAATGTACTTTTTCTGTATTTTTATAACAAATAATTGAAGCAAGTAGAGAAAAATAGAGGTAAACATAAAGACAACATAGTGCAGAGACACAAGGAAATGTTGAAATGTGACTTCAAGGTTTACTTGAAATGATTGTAGCCATTTGACTGGGCAGAACTAACAATATTTGATGATATTAATGGTATGTTAGTTACTAAAATGTATTTTCAAATTATTGCATTATATTCTTTTGCTGTTCTTACTATTCTCTTGTTTGTAGGGAACATCTATACTTGTGTGAGCTGTTCACTGAGAATCTGTAACGCACAGGACAGGCGGAGAGGTCAGCTAAGAAACAGCAGAAGACAGAAGACAAGACTGCAGTGATAGAAAAAGATGGATATCAAGCCAAATGCAACAGCACTGCGTGCTGTCGGGCAACAGCAAAGGATCCCTTTGCATGCAAAAAGAAAGTTGCACAATATGAAGGAAGCAGTAAAAATGAAATGAAGTAGAAGAGACATGCAGAAAGAAAAACGTTCTTGGATGTGTCACAATCGTCTTGATTCTTTACCTGGAAAACCTGTATTTTTTCCTTTGTAATTATCTAATATACTTTGTGTCAAAGAACAAGGACCTGAGTTCCACTTAAAGAAGATGAAGAAGTTAACAGATACCATTTTCGGGTTTTATCATGAAATTAGAAATGAAAATTTTCAGTTTCTGGTAGTCATGAACAGAGAGCCTCAGGTAAGCCCGAGAGTGCAGGCAGACAGTCAGGATGCTCCTGCGCAGGCTCCTCAGGTGCAGCTGTGCTGGTGGGAAAAATCATGCTGTTTAGCCTAACGAGGCAAAACAGAATAAAGGCCAAGGTAATTCAGTAGAGAGGGTCTTAAATGCACAGCTGTATCAGCTGCTGCCTCCTTCCCACCTGGTCTTCATTTTTTCTCTGTGTAATCTGTTTGCTTCCCTACTGGGCCTGCTAACATTATCTGATTCCAGGCCAAACTGATATTAATCATTTGTTATGAGGTCCTCCAAAATTAATAAAATTTGAGTTTGTCATCTTGGTGTTCCATGAACTAAAGTTAACTACGTGTTAAACCCTAAAGTCCACTTGTTACACCAGGATCAGGCTAAGATGTAAATCTCCATTTGAACTACAGAACAGCTGCACTCCTCTTGAAACTCTACATGCACAGAGAGATGTTTGTTTGTAAGTGGATACAATAGACAGAGTGCTTGTTGGTGTTTTAAAAGCCAAAACCTGGAATACTTTTCTTTTGACTTTACATATGGAGAAAATTACGGTGTAAAATGTAGAGGAGAATAAAATAATACCAAGATGAGTAAGTCCATTAAAAAAATGTAGATGAGCAAATGACTTTAGCGTTATTAATGCTGACTGGGAATTTGACTGGCCAAATGAGCATGTTTACACTTGGGACCAATTAAAAGGCTTACCATTTTAATCACTGGCAGAACTGGACATTCAGTGTTTTCCTGGATGACAAGGGTTTTCTTGTTTTTTTCAGTTTGGCTTTGTTTTGGTCTAGCAACTGCACCAGAGTGTCCTCAGTGTAGAGAAGATAACAATACACTACCACAGTGTTAGTAACAATATCTTGTTACTAACATTTAGTAACAGTGTCTCAGAGTCTCTCTACAGCTTGAGGGGAAAACATTGTTGCCATTCCTACCCTGAGGAAAAGCTACAGTAACTGAATGTTTCCAGAAGTAGAAACATCCTACCAGTCCAGAACCTCCACGTGGACCTGACCTCTCAGCTTTCCCTGACTCCCCACCAGGGCAGCTGCTGTGTAGGATCCGCTGTAACGTACCAACGGCACAGGTGGTGCAGTGCGTTGGGGCTGGACTCATGGAGAATGTCCAGGAGCTTCCCAAGAAGACCCCTCCAACATTACTAGGCAAAAAGATGGATCGGGAACACCCTCCTAAGCCCCGGGAATAGTTCCTCCTGAAATAATTAAATAGACACACATCTTTCAGCTTTGATTATTTTTAAATCAGCCTGAAAAGACCAGCTTTCAGATTCCTGAAGAAATTGCAAACATATCTTTTTAAAAAAATGTAAGTTCTGGGTGATTCCACATTGAGTCATTGAATTGTGAGTTACTAGAATTTAAAGCCTTTGTTTAATTACTTGATTCATAGAAATTCTCTTGATTCACTAATATACAATTTAATCCCCAAAGGCACTCTGATTTTCTATATTTCCCTCTTTAATTTCAATGGGCATTTCTATCACAGTGTTATACATTCTCTTATACGACCCTCTACTTTTTCTTTTTTTCAGTATGGGGATCAAACTCAAAGACCTTCTACATTGGTAAGTCTTTTAAAATATTTGTAATTTCTTACTTGTGGTTATTTGAAAAAGGTACAACTATGAAAACACTTATTACTTTTCACAAGCCTGAAAAGTAATATACAGAAAAAATGCATTATCAATTTTGATATTTAAGCTTAATTCACAAAGAAATCCCCATCACATTTGGAGAAAAAAACTAATCATCAACACCAAGAAAATCCTGTCTTCTACGGTTTCGACCAGCTTTTGTTTCATAAAACATGAATTAAGCCTTTTCAATGACTCATTGCAGAGTCTGACATAGTGAGGTCATCTAATGAATGCAGGGTAACAACCATCTTTGAGTGTAGGTTGTCAGCTGAAAGATGCCATTTGCTGTTTTTGTTTCGGTCCTTTGAGCATGATTTTGCTTCATGTGTGGCCCTACCATGGGCTCCAGTCTTCAGCCTTATGTGTGTATTGCTTCTCATTTCATCCTCAGATTTCCTAAGGATTTCATAGCCAAACCATCGATCTTCATTTCTCCTGCTCCCCTGGAGCAGCAGCAGATTTGTGGAATGTTCTCAGGCTCTTTCTGTGCAAGATTTTCTTGTCTTGTTTTGCACTTTTTTTTTTTTTTGTGGTCAATAACCCCACTTTTTTTCATACCTCAGATTTTGAAGACTTTTGTGACAGTTATTGTTTCCTTACATGGCTTAAAAAATAGTCATTCAATAAAGCTTTCAAATCTTTCTTGGGTCCTTAATGCCTTCCTAGCCCATTAGGTTTTTGAGTAGAAGCCAGAACAAAATGTAGGGAAGAAGATGTAGATGTGCAAAATGACTTTCATAAAAGCCCCTTATGTCACATTTATAACTTCAATACACAGCTGATTCACCGTCCAACAGCATGATCATTAAAGAATAAGAAGGACAGCAGGGACCATTTGGATGAAAGTACAATGAAAACCAATTTAATTTTCTTATCTGTAAGTGTGAAAAATGTTTAGTATGCTGGAATGTCAAAAGAGGAAGTCCAGAGAACACAGGGATAACAAACACCAGGAGGACTACGGAGGAGGAAGTTTTATTATTTTCAACACAAGTCTCTCACAGACATATTCTTAAATTTATGTGCAAGAATTCCACTGGTGTTCCTGTGCTAATGGATATTGCACATATATAATTTATATACTGATTTTGTTTCTTTCAGCTTATCACTGGATTGTAAACATGTTTTGGATTTTTATTGCTATTTTATTTGGATAATCATCTCATTTGCAAAGAGTGACATCTTTTCTCATTTTCTATTTATTGATATATTTTACATTAAAATAGTACCATGTACAACTGTCAAGTAGGTGTACATAATCAATTTTCTGCTTTTTAATTCTAGTTCATTTATTTTTTGCTGATTATTCCCTTAATTATTTGGTCATTTTATTGAGACACAATTGATACTATAACTACACACATTCACATATACAGGTTGGAGTTTGACATGTTCAACCCTATTTTGTTTTGTTTTTTTCATTTACTTATTGGCCTCACTAGTTCATTCATTGTCATTTTGAATATTAATATTAAAACATAATTGTAATAGGTATTTGAAAAAATAATTCCTACTTATAATTCTTTTTAATCATTTGCTCTTTGTCCCACATTTATGAGAAATTTGCCATTAACCATCTTTAGTCTTTTAATCGGTAAATAATTTATTTCCCATTGTTGGAATAGCCTTGCTTCACTCACATCATGATGATACTCTCTTATAAATCCTAAATTTTGTAAAGCAATATTTTTTAATTTCTGTCTATATCAATGGGAGATATTTGTACAATATTTTATTTCCTTAAAATATTTTTGCTTTGCTTTTAGTTTAAGGCTTTCCTAAGGAGGAAAAGGATCCGTGATAATGTCATCACAGTTTAGTACCTTTCCTTTTCTTCCTTTCTTCTGGTTAATAACCTGAGTAGTGCTTTCTCAGGTCTCCAGATAGACTTTTATGGCTGCTTGATGAGGTTCATGAACATGAGCTCTGATATGTCACCTGTGGGGCCTTGTTCTCTTTTTGATTCTTGACCACTTCTCTCATAGGTTCGTCCAATATCTCCTCAGACTTCAGGAGAGTTATTTTCCTAAACTTTAAGGATTTAAAATATTGTATGTTTTGTTTTGTTTATTTTGTGGTATTGGACATTGAACTCAAGAATCACTGAACTATATCTCCAGGCAATTTTCAAATTTAATTTTTAGGGGCTGGGAATTTAGCTCAGCGGCATAAGCACCTGCCTTGCAAGCAGGCAGGTTTGATTCCTGGTACCGATAAAAACGAAAAAGACCAAAAAAAATTCTTATACAAATTTAATTTTTAGAAAAGATCTTACTTAGTGGCCTGGGATGGTGATCCTCCTGACTCTTTACCCTCTCAATAGCTGAAATTATAGACCTGTAGCACCAAAGCTGGCTAAGACTAAGGTCACATAAGTAAAACAATAGCCGTGAATTTTCAGGTGATATTTGTCTTGCTTGGTTATCGTAAAAGTTCTCTCGGTGCTGACTTTGCAAAAGTATCTTTTAAATAATTTTGAACATATTCCAGGCTATTGGCACACATTTCATTCCTGGAGATGGTTAGAATATGGTGTTTCTAAAATGAGAAGGACTTATCTTTTCTCCTCTACTTTGGAACTAAGATGAGGTAAGTGGCCAGATACCTCCCCCCTCCAACAACTTGTGTCAAGTGTTCCTCCAAATCTGTACTGTTACATGTTTTATGGATACCCTGTTGCCTTCTCCAGTGTTCATGGCTATCTTGAAACCTACATGTGGCAGAGTACACAATTAATTGTATCTAGTTTTATAAGCAGCATTAGGAAGCCAAAAGTAAATACACTATTTTCTGAGTGGTAAAAACTTCACATGTTTTAAAATCTATGACCTGAAATTTGTTCTATGAATAAACCAAATTGTAGATAACACAGGATGAAAATTCCTCTTCATATCTTTTAAATTATCAATCACAATTTATGAAACCAATCACATACATGAATAATTTTACACTGCCTAGACAGGTATCAAAATCATTCCAATACTGTGATTGTAAAATGGACCAGTTTTTAAAACTATGACAGTTTACATTTGAAAAACTTGAATAATTACTTTGAAAACCAATTGAGCAATACTTATTATGAGCAGTCCATCTTGGGTTATTTTGGAATGGATAAATTTTAAATTGATATAAAAAGTTCTGTATCCTAATTCTGTGTTATATGCTTCTTGTCTGACTTTCGCAAATGAAATAAAAAGTATGAAAGCTATTTTTAAAGCATCAATTTTTACTCAAATATTATTTAAATGATGAAAAATATTAATGTATTTACAGGGAAAATGTACTCTTAAATCACTACATGTGGGTAGTATAAGATTCAAGAATAAATAGTATAAAGATCAGAGGAAGACTTCACAAAATTGCAAATAAATCTGCTTCTGTACATATTCTTTTCAGATGCACATAGAAATGCTTACTGAGTTTTAAAGGAATACTTCTATTATTTGTGATCAGATAATGTTATAAATTATTTCTTATTGCATAAACTTATTTGTAATACTAGAAAAATGAACATTAAATGTATCAGTAGCTTATGAAGTTGATCAGAAATATTCATAAAATCCTGGGCCTCTGACAGCCCAGTTCCTCGGATTGAGAGAGGGTCACTGAGGTTGGGGCAGGCAGCTGGAGACCTGAGGAGCTGGTAGTATGTGCTGGAGGCCTCCTAGCTCCTTGACAGGCAGCGGGAGCGATGACCCCAAACTCTGGGGCTCAGGATGGTGGACACTCACTCCAGCCCAGAATTCCTCCACATTATTTAGAGTTTCCCGGCTCATGCCTGTTACTGGCAGACTGTTCACTATCCCCGGGGGCCTCCACTGCAGACTTCCTCTGGATTATCCATGAACTGTTGGCCACATGCCTCGGCACAGGGTTCCGGTGCCCTGCACGCCTGGCACCGCCTGGGCACGCGGGGCTGCGGGACGGAGTCTTCCAACTGCAACCTGGAAACGGTCACTCTGAGGACAGGGCAGCGCCGAGGGGCCCAAACCCCGCTCTGCTCCAGACATGCCAGTCCCCGGTGACTTTTTCTTGCTGGTTAAAAACGCGCCTGCGCCTCCAGAGTTGAGGGGCGCCCTTCCCTGGTTCTGAGTGAACAGAAAGCCTGGCCAGCTTGGTGAGGGGAGCACTCTTCCCCGCGCCCTGGGCCTTGCCGGTATTCGCCCTCACTCTATAGCAACATTTTTAGAGTGAATATTTTGTGTTTACTTTTTAACAACATTGCAAAATATAAGTACTTAGTACTCAGTGATAAAGTTAACAGTAATTACATCAAAACATGTTTTAAAGGTAAATCAATTTTCTTAATTTATTTTAACCCGTTTATTTTCCCATTTGCTGCTAGGCTACCCACGAGCAGTGGCTGTGACTCTGTCACTTGCAGATTACAGCAAAGAAATAGAATTCAAAGGGCTGCTGCAAAGTTTGCTCTTTTCACAGGGACAAAGTTTGCAAGACTCCAAGATAAACAGTATTTTGGGGTGGAGCTAAATTTTGTAGTTTCAAGCTTTGAAATCTACCACATGAAAATGTCAAATACTGATCATCATACAGCTCTCTGTTAATATTTACTAATGACATTCCAAAATTATATTTACTTTTATCCTACTTTGTATATGCATATAGTACATATACTATTTATATGTCTTGTGGATAATTATTACAAGTACATAACACACTTTAATTCCTTTTACAGTGCTCCTTCCCTTCCACCTGACAATCCCCTTCTCTACTGAGAAAGATCTATCCTCCTAATTCTTATTACCTATCATTTATTTTGCTTTATATACTTTTCCTAACTCTCTCATATAAGAAAAGCCATGTGGTATTCAGCTGGTACATTTGTTTAATGTCATTTAACATTTTGTTCTCAGAATGCAATCATTTTCCTAAAAATAACTCAAATTTATCTTTCTTTGTGGCTAAATAGTAAAACGCTTATATTCAAAGTTCTCAGTAGTACTTCCAATGTTTGCATAACTTAACTTTTATTTTAAAGTAAAATGTGAATAATTCAAAATTTCTAAATGGTTTAAAAATATGAGATTTTTATATCAGTATGGTTAACATATATTATTATACTTAATAGATATTATAACACATAGTATATTATCACAATACAATATGAGTATAATAGTAATTGTGGGAGTTGATTTAAGAACTGTTACTAATCAAGGCTAAAAAATAAAGGAAATCATTGCTTTAGTTACTAGCCCATGCATTCACATCTAGGAAACACTTATTTGATTGATAATTTTTATTTAAGATATATATTTTATTGTTTTTAAAAATATATCACACTTTAATAAACAGGCAAATTGACAGTTTTTTTCTCAGATTGGCTTCCATGTCTGCTTGAATGTTTCATTTTAAGCAACAGAATGGCATGAAAGTAAGAAAAACATGTTTCTAACAAAAATTCAATATGGTAAGAATAGTAAATAAATGTGAACCAGTTTCTAAGAGTATCTCATGGAGGTATTAACTGGAATGCATAAATCTCCACTATAGTTCAGAGATGAGGGGCGGTGAAATAAATGTATTAGTCAATTAAGGTATGATTGTCAGTTCGTGAAAAGAAAAGGTTTAATTTTGCCGACAGTTTTAGAGATTGCAGTCTAGATGAGAAAGACATAATAGTTTCAGTCCTCTGATGAGGACGGGGCAGCACAAGACTGCATGAAGTTTGTGGTGAAGTAACCCTGCTCGCATCGTGAGCACAGAGAGACAGCCTGAGTCATAATTCCTCAGAGCATGTGTTCATGATGACTGCACAGCACTCACCAAGCCCCAACTCTTGTTCTACAGCCCCCCAGTCTCAGGAATCACCTTTAACATGTGGACGTTCAGGGAACATTCCAGATTTGAACAACTAAATACTGAAATTGAATTAGAGGACCTAGTCTAAGAATATTCATTAGCTTTTATGTGAATTTGGGTATGTCACTTATTTCTCACTCGCCATTTACTCATATTAAAATACATATAATGATTCTGCATTCGTTTCTGCATTATATAATTGTTTTGTGAATTCAAGTATGAAAAAAGTTTTATAACTTGAAAACTAAAACTCTTATCAAGAGGCTTCCAAATATTAAACATATTTTTGTAGATGTCTTTATGACACTTGCACGGTCTAGGTTGTTAAGAATAAAAATAAATATACATTATATATGATATAGATGAATATATATATATATGTATATATATATATATATATATATATATATACATATATATATTCTTACTGAAAATGTTCAGTTTACTGATTGTTAGTGTTTAATGTATTTAGAGCATACAATATATTAGGTAGATAGATATCTGAATTTTATGATTGTTTGAGAATCACATTTGTCGCTTTTCTGTTCGGGGGCAAAAATTTCTCACATTTACAATCTAAATTCACAGAGCTTCATTTTGGCCCATACTTTCAGAGATTTCAGTCCCCCTGGTGGAAAAGCATCACAGAGGAAAGCTGCTACACTCATGGCATTTGGAAAGCAGAGCAGATTACAAAGAGCCAAAGAAAAAAGTTTCAGTGACTAATATAGTCCGCAAGGTTATGCTCTCTTGACCCATTTTCTTAAACTATACCCCAAGTCCTAAAAGCCCATTCAAATACAAACTCAGTTTTAATGAAGTTACTGCCCTCACAATCTAACACCTCTCCAGGGGTCTCTCAGTCCAGTCAAGACTACAGTGAAGCTCAACTGATTGAAGACTATCACTTTATCAATTTGACACTTAATTACACATCTTTAAACTATGATTAATTTCTCAATAACCTTATATCTTTCAAATACATTTGATCTTCAAATACACCATGACCTCATTCTTCTGCTGGTTCTGCTCCTTGCTCATAACTTTTTGGACCATGTTCCATTTTCCTGGCATCTCCAAGTTTCTGTGGTATCCACTGCAGCTTCACTCCACTCCCAGGGACTCAGCAGCCTCTCAGGATCTCGTAGCAGGCAGGGATGCTGGTCTTATAGTATTTTTGCTCCACCAGACCACTTAATGCATCATCTTGAACTCAGCCTTACAGAGTTTTAGCATGTGGATAAACTAGAAAAATGATTTGTAAGGATATAGCATTTTGGTCTCTTGTCCAATTGTCAAAAGAATTCTCTCTTTCCATCAGAAGTCTAGAGCTTCTTGAGTACAATTTTTATTCTAAATCCTTTCAACATTCAGAGCTTCTGAGCTACTGTAATAATCATCTATCAGTCTCTGTTTATGGCTTTCTAGGAGTCTGAAGCCCACATCATCAAATCACACATTCCTCCTAAGAAATAGTTACAAAGGCTTCTGAGCCCCCATGGTCATGTGTAGCTACAGTAATGACCCCACTTCTCTATTGGAAATTTTCTGAACTGTTCACTTTTCTGTTGCCGGACAAAACTTCCAAACCTCATAATTTAAAAGAAAAGCTTATTTTGGTTCATATTTTCAGAGTTTTCAAATCATGATTGTTTAATTTTAAGGCTCAAATATCATGGCAGTAGAGCATTCACAGGAAAACAGCTCAAAATACCCCAGAAGGGTGGGAGAATGGGGCAAAGCCAAAGAGAGTTGATGGACAGATGCAGTCCCCGAGGTCCTGTCTCTGGGGCCTGCTTCCTCCAGCTGGACCCACATCCTAAAGCCCACTCAGCTATAAACTCATGGATAAACTTACCCATTGATGAGGTTAGTCTCCTCACAATCCAATCACTTCTTTCAAAGTCTCTTCATCTTTTCAAGTTGGTAATGCAGATGAACAGACACAATTTTAAAAGAATAAATACATATATATATAATTTAATATAATATTGTATATATATCACTCAGTAAAATCTTTGAAAAAACTAACAGTTAAATATTAGTCCCAATAGGATAGTACTTGTTAGTGGTTCTGGCATTATGTTAAGATTAAAATTCAGTAATTTTCCTTATCTCATAGAAAGAACTGACTTTTCATTGTTTATCTTTTTTGTTTGTTTGTTTTTGTACCAGGGATTGAACTCACAACCTTGCACTTGCCAGGCAGGTGCTTGTGCTGCTGAGCTAAATCCCAGCTCATTGTTTATCTTTTAATCAACAACATGAATGCTAGTTAAACTAGTATTATTGATTGTGGAAGTGTGGAGTTTAATTTAAAAATTTCAGCACGATTTCTTCTTGTGTATGTGTGTGTATGTGTGTACCAGGCAGAGTATCAAACTAAAAACCTCGCACTTGTCAATCCCCAGTCCCAACATGATTTCATTTTATTATTTTTCTTTTATACTAGAAAGCAAAAGTACTGCGTTAAGTGACATATACAGCACTTTTGAATTTATAATCACCTCTGCTCTGTGGCATCATAATTATGTGGTAGGTATCTTGTAATTTTAACATTTGCTACAAAAAAATAATGGTTTTATATGCTCTCATTATGTTTACCTGCAGCATCAATTTAGATGCCTCTTTGTGCTGCTAAATAAAAAATTTAAGAATATCAGCTGAACTCAAAACCTTCTTAGAGGTTTTATAATCTGTATTTTGTAGTTCATCTGATTATCACTTATAAATTGAATTTGTACAAAACAGAAAAATTTTTAAATTTAAGGCAAATGATACTATTTATATTATCTTTTAACTTCAGAGTTTGGAAAAGATATGCGGCCATAAAAAGAAAAGGTTGCAAGAATGTTTAATAATAAACATATTGAGACAGCATGAGGTTAATATGTCACATTTAGCTGGTAAAATTACAACAGGAGCACGCCCCACTCAACAAGGAAATTGTACATATTCTAGAAAATTCTAATTTATATTTACATTGAAATTAGGTCTTGCAGGTTAAAGAGTGAAAGTGCTACTTTATTTAAATGAATGCAGAATGCATTGTTACCTGTTTATGAAGTTGCGCTGCATTCTGCTTTCCAGATGTTATATTCTTGAACTTCATCAGTCCTTCCTGAAAACTCTATTTACCAATCTAAACTATCATCTGTGACAAATTCTGAACTGTTTTTAATCTATATCCCTTTCATTCCACCTTTCCTGATTATTGCATACTCATTTTTACTTTCCCCTAGTGTAAATTCCCCAAATAAAAGACTGCGTTTTCTGGCCTTTAAAGTGACATGTGGCCACTGAACTTAGTTCTAGTCAAATGAAATGGCTGTAGTAGTTTTAGACTACACCTCCTGGAATTTGAGCACAAGTAGAAAGAAAGCTGTATCAAATATCCTGCATCCAAACTCCATTAACCTTCCGGATGTCACTAGGGTCTCTGTACAATCCGTCATCAACACAGTAGCCACACTGACTTTTAAAAAGCAAATTAGATATCATTTCTGTCCCCTGCCCAGCCACTTTCAAAAGCCATACTTTGATTCAAAAACAAATTTCACAGCCTAGTAAATAAAGCCTCCACGCATTTCTTCCATCTCTTACACCTTTAACCACCTTGTCATCTTTCAGGTCCACTAATCTTTAGAATATTTTCAGGTTTTTAAAATGTGCCAAGATCCTTTCTACTCACTCTGCCTAGAATGATCTCCCCCAGCTCTGTGCAGCTAGCATGCTCTTGTCAAAGTCTGCTCTTTAGGGGGAACTTGCCCAATGAACTGGTTCATCTTTTTACAGTACGTTCAATCATGATGTAGTGTGTGTTCTCTGTGTGCTAACCATGGACTGCATTATTTGTTTATTTACTGACTTCTTACAGAAGCACAGATTTTTAGCTATTCCTTTTTTGCTGAATGAGAACTCGTGTTTGGTCCTCAGTGTAGTATGTGGTGTGAATGTAGCCACTTGCTGTGAAGTATAAAGCCACTATCCTCTTCCCTAAGAAACAAAATTTTCCTTCCACATAAACCGCACCTGTGGTTTTGCCTCCTGTTACACCCAAGACCTAGCCACAGTGCCTTGTTCTTCTCTGATAGACCCAGCAACAGATCCAGCCACAGACCCAGAAATCTAAAAGGCCTACCAATGGGAGTCCTCAGGGAGGGGCACCCCTGACCCTAGTCCTCCTCCCCAGATCCATAGTCAAAGGACTTGATTTAACCTCTCCTCCTCTCAAATAAAAGCACTTTGTCCACTTCCATTTCCTGCTGACACTTAGACCCATGACCCAGGTGTATTTCACTGGAGGGAAAGAGCCCCACTTTAAATTTTCTTGAGGCTGATAATTTTGTTGATTTCACCACAGATCTTTTCTGCCCTAAAACTTCTACACAAATTAATTAGTCACATGTCCATTTTACAAATGTTATTGTAAAGTATAAACTCCAAATTGGCACTATTTCCTGTATTTGATTTGCTAAGCAGTGGGTTTTAGAGTCACCCTACTCCTTGACTCATGTTCCTACATCACTGTGAGATGGTTCTGTGAATTAGATCAAGAATGTCCCCCAAATCTTGCTTCATCACCCAGCCTGCTGGAGTTACAGGTTTGTGGCGTCATTCTGTCACTCCTGCTCTCCTTTTCATTCTATAGCTTATTTTGTTTATTGAAATGTAACTAAACCATAATTATACACAATATATGAATATACAGTTGCTAATTATTTCATGGCCATAAGTGACTTAAATAGTAATATCATGTACAAAATGATCTTGTAATTTTGTAATTGATCTTGTAACTTCATATGAGATGAAATTCATGTGATGTTGAATGTCTTATCCAAGGTGCCTTGAGCCAGTTAGTACACAGGGCTCTCAGAGATTACAGGCTAGTACAGGAAAGATAAAATCTCACATCTGTTCTCTTCTCCAAAGAATTGCCATTAACCAAATCTTCAGCAGTTTCATCTTCAGGAGCTACAGGCTAATCTCATTTTGTGCACAGACTTTGGTCTATTATATGACTAAAGGTAATTTGGTGGAATGTAGCATTGACTTTTGTGATTTACAGCTTTCACATGAGATCGGATTAAAACTAATTGACAGATGATAAGACCTTACCATTTATTGCTTCTATCCTGAACTTTATTTATTCATCTTCCATTGTGCTGAGAGCTTTTGTTTCATATAATAATTCACTTGAAATTGTACCTGAGCATTTACTTCCAAGAAACTTTACTTCCTAAAACAGTGCATCTTAGGAGTCATCCTAGAAATGAGCAGCTAATTTCCAAATGGAAAGGAGAATCTCAACACTAAATACAAGCCATGAATTGACAGCTATTTTGCAATGTAATTGCTAGGGCTTCATTCATAGAGGAAAGGAATGTGCTATATTAAATGATGAGTATTTTGACAATCTAATGCTGCACACATTTAAGATAAATGGGAGAGACAGCAGTTATAAGAACATTAGAATAGAACAGGATAGCTGTTTCTAAATGCCGATGATCAATTTACATGAGAATAATAGATCTTTTAATCAGCCATGAACAACAGCTTATGAAACTCAGAACAAGCCTGTAACATTTTTAAAGAGCCTCATCTCCTGCTTTGAGAGTGTAAACATAGTTTAATATTGGACATAAGGCATAAATAGTACAAATTCTTAAGTCAAAACAAAAGATGGAGCCTACGATAATAGAGATGTAAACAAAGTATGGACGAGGAAGAGACAAAGTTTCAATAAAATTATTAGTGCATGTTTGCAGCATGTAACTATTACATATGTATTATCATACAAACACATTTTTCTTTTCAAAAATTATTTTTATGAACTTTTTGTAAATATGAGAAAATGAACATCCCGAATACATTGAATACAACAATTTTTGTTTACAAATCATTATTTTGCCTATCACTTTGTGATACATAACTATATATTGCATGTGACTAAACTTTTAATATTATTTCTTGGAACAATATCAAATCTCAATAATAGTTCAATATAAAGAGCAGTTAAATATCATATGGTTTCTCTTATATGAGAAAAGACCTGGTCAGGATATCTCTACAGATAACCCCCATGACGAATGTAATCATAATATATTGCAAACATATTCTAATGAAAATATTTTAAAACCTAAAGAGCACTTACATTCTGCATATGGATACATAAGGGTCCTGACTAGGATAGAATGCTATTGCAATCAAACATTAAAATCCAAACATCCTCACCCAAATTCCTATGATGTGGGTAGTGACTAAAGACGGAGTGATCACTTGCAGCAGAGCCAAGGCCAGCCTGAAGAACACAGAGCGCCTGAAGCAAGTCACTTCACTAAGCAGCTCTGCTCTCAAGAACACTGGGTGCCTGAGACATTGCACATGGAGAAACTATGAGGCAGAGGTTCACATGAGACTCCACCTCCCAAGTGGATAAATAAACGTGCCACAGCTCTTGGCACTCCCACTCCTTACACCCTTCTTTTTTCTTAATTCTGACTGGCAGAGAGGGCTTCCTGTGGCCTCAGGTTCCTGTATTCTGACTTTGGTTCTCTTTTCTCCATTCTCTGGTTAGACGTGTGTCCCCATCAATCAAAATAGATGAGAATGAAGTAAAAGCAGTAGGATGAATTAATCAGTCCATACTTTATAATGAAAGCACTGTGCACTTTAAAAGCTCTCTACTTTTTCACAATCTTTTAGCACCCCATGTTTAAAGCTCAATTTCAGGAAAGTTTATGCTTGCTTTCAACATTTTCAGAGACTTCTGTCTTTTGTTGTGATTTGTATTCCAGCTCTCATCTCCTTTATATGGATTGTTCTTCCTTTTCCTTATTTTTGTGTTGTGTCAGCAACATGGAATGAGAGTGTATCAGGAAGCTGTAGGACAGAATATTCATGTTCATAGCAAGTGTGCAGCCCTGCTCCTCCCTGAAACAGGCCTGCACCCGACACATAAGCAGCAATCCCCAGATGGGACTTGGCTTTGATCTTACTAGGGCTCCCTCCTCCCTACTGACCCAGCTGCGCACTGAACAGGCCCAGTTTATGACTGCACTTGGTGTTCCTGTAAGGAAAGGGGAAAAAAGAGGACAAAGGGTCAAATGGTTAGAAATTTAATCTCATTTGATGCACACTAGAAAGTTCTTGTATTACAGAATTTGGGAGTTTTCAATTTTATTTCTTGCTTGCTTGCTTTTTTTTTTTTCTTTTCTTTTTTTATAGTAGTAGTTTAACATTGATGCCAATTACCTTAAGCTAAATGTCATGTAATTTTACATTATGGTTTACTTGTTTCCTAAAATATTTACAATATACTAGTGACTGTGGGAGGCTCTGTTGTATAAGAAATCATGTATTTCATAAAGACATCTAGCTTAATTGAGTAAAGTATTTTACTATTCCTAGGGCAAAAATAAAGGCAAAATCAAACTCAGAAGCCATCTTTACTGTTACCTATATCATCCTTTGTTCTCTTAGAACCATCGTGGAATTTATGAATAAGGAAAGTGAGCACACACTGGCAATAATTTATCCTACATAGCAAATTTTCTCTTAGCACAACAGTTAATTCAGGGTTTGATATATGGATAAAAATGAATAAGTTAATAAATAAACTTGCAGAGTGAAATGTTACTCTGACTTTCTGCTTTAAAACTTACATTTTCAATAATGACTGTACTTTGAAGAGAAAGACTGAAATATGAAGAAGAAAGACAATCATAGTTTTTAAATGTCATTCTCATGATTGGGTGACTATTTCTCTCACTGACTGAAGAAGCTTCTTGATAAAACTATTATGTACTTACTTTTTAAAAATCTGAGTGAAATACTATATTCACTCATATTCAGAAACAAGAGTTTCAAAAATTGATCATATTTTCTTCTTTAATCAAAGTTTGGAAAATAATGTCTAATACTCTCAATAACTCTGTTTGAAGATTTTATTAAAATATAGACTATATCAAACTTTTTGAAGGACCCAAAACATTTTTATGTGTATATATATATATATATATATATATATATATATACACAAATATAGATCTATTTACCTAACTTTATGCACATTTTTTGGAAACTGAGTTTTTGTAGCATAGAACATAATGTGTTAATGTATGCAATTAAACATTTTGATTGATTTTAATATGAAGTAATAAAATGTTTAAATAAGGCATAATTTTGCTAGAAACAAGTAATTTTTTATTTTGAAATTTTGCGGTATTAAAACCATCAAAATAACATAAACAATGACAGAATATTTTTATTTGTTTAACAATAAAATCTATGGTTAAAGGACTTATATAAATCATCAAGACAGGTAGTTTAATTTCATTTATGCAGGAAGTTATGAGCTATATTAGGATGTATCAAAAACAAGTACTTTCTAAAGGTGTAAGAAAAAGATGCCTTGGGAGCATCTCAAAAATCAATAAGAACCTAACCATCAAAGTTGAAAAGGGTGAACAAGCATAATACATTTATTTTAGAAGATAATGCATGGTAGAATTGCTTGGGATAGCTCAAGAGAGGTTTACCACATTTTGGGGGTGTCTGAGTGGGTAGTGGACAGGAAGCATGGCTGTGGGGACTGTGTGAGGTCTTTGGCCCCTTGCTCTATGAGTCTTTTCTCCTGCTCTGATTTCTGGTCATTATGGACTCAGGAACTTCATTGTGCAACATTCTTCTGCCAACATGCTTGTGTCTTTGAGTAAATTGGGCGCAGATTGTAAACATGAATTAAATCAAAATTCTCCTTTAAGTCTTGGATATATAATATTGTGTACTAGAAGAAAAGAGCTGATAAATACAGAAGAATTGGAGCAAAAGAGGCAATCTTTTTGTGATTCTACCTAGTGAAGTTGTCTGAAAACTTTTGGAACTGGCTTATGGAAGGAAATTGGAAAGCATTGGAAGCACAGATTGTAGATGTACTAAAATGCTATAAGCAAAACTTCAGGGGTGAGTCTAGTGGGAGCTCAGATCATACTGATGATAAAAATGCAGAAATGAAAAGCCAGGGTTTTTAAGTTTCAAGTGCAAATGACCTATACTGGGAAATGGACTAGAGACCATGAGCTGATGTTCTGGATAAGATGCTGTTTCCAATTTGTCCAACCAATAAGACTTTTAAAAAAAAACTGAGATAAAGGATAATACACTAATTATTCTAGCAAAGGAAATTGTAAAGCTGTCTAACCTTTAGAGTACCCTTTAGTCCTGGTTGGCTGATTTACCAAATTTTCATGAGAATCATTGCAAGAAAAACAAAACAAAACAAAATCTTATTAAGAGATTATCATCTTTAAAAAAAAAAACAAGGGGCTGGGGGTTTAACTCAGCGGCATAAGCACCAGCCTTGCAAGCAGGCGGTCCTGAGTTCGATCCCTGGTACCGATAAAAATTGAAAAAGACAAAAAAAAAAGAAAGAAAACAAGTACTTTCTAAAGGCATAAAAAAAGATGACTTGAGAGCATCCCAAAAACCAGTAAAGCCCTAACCATCAAAGTAGAAAAGGTTGAATAAGAATAAAACATTTATTTTAGAAGATAACATATGTTAGAATTGCTTGGGAAAGTACACTATTAGTAATGTTTCCCAAGATTTATTTTGATGTTGTCAGGTTCCAGATTCTGAGAGGTCATTGCAGTCAAGGTTTAAAGGTGTCCAGTTACTGCTCAATTTGAGAGCAGATCTTGGCATCATCCACATGATGCTGTTTTTTACCAATATGCACAAATGAAGAGTTGTGGAATTAGGAAGATGTCTACCTAGATTTCAGAATAGGGCTGAGGAGGCCAAGCAAGGATCTCCTATGAGTGCAATCTGTAAAGCTGTGGGAATAAAGCAGAGAACAAGGCAGAAAGTTAGGGATGCCAGAAATATGAACCATCTAGTAAGGAAAACTAGAGGTCTGGAGTGGACACTGCTCAAGACAGAGACCAAGTGAACTGCAACTAACAAAGCCATAGTATTAGGGCTACTTAGGCACTCTGGAACTCAAATTTCATCCTTGTTTGCCTTCAATGCCAGCTATGATGCTATAGAACTTAATAGTTGCCCTGTTGGATATTGCTTATTGTCTTGGTTGTTTTATCATTGCTGGGATAATGTGCCCAATGCCCAAAATTTAAGGAAAGAAAAGTTTGCTGAACTCACAGTGTGTGGAAGTTTCAGTACATAATCAGCTGGCTCCAAGACAAAGTGATGTGACACAGGCAACACTTCAAGGCAGGAGAAGACAGAAAAGGCAACAACAGCAAAAGACGGATACAAGCCTCTTTTCTTCCTTATATTGTATGCAGGCTGTGCCCTCAGTTGAGTGTAGCACTCACATCATCTCTGTACCCTTCTCATGTGCAGGCTCACATGATGACCCATCCTGAATCACTTAGTTAAACTGCTAAACTTCTCAAATTGACACAATGAGCAATACCCTAGAGTCCTGAGAACATGCCCTCTGTACACTAGAGTAGAACAGCTAGTTATTTAGTTAAGCTTCTAGACTTCTCCAGTTGACAAAGTATATTAACCATTCCAATCATGCTTTAACTTGATTTGATTCTAGTCACCTTTTCACTACATATGGAAGAAGAATGTTACCCCTGCACCAGTCTCCTTTGGGATTGCATTACTCCTTTTTGATTTTCACCAAAATATAAAACTAAGCATTGACTAGATTTGGACTTGGACTTTTGAAAAATTCTGGAATTGTTGAGATTTGGGGGGAAAGTTGTTGCATTCCAGCTGTACACAGGATATTTGTTATTATGTAAGACAAAATTACGAACTTTCTATTGTTTTCATTTGGAAAATAAATTTGATTTAAGGAGATGTGTTTTGATGTGATTTTGACAAGGACTAGGATATGATAGCTATGGTAGAGTGTCAACCTCATTAACTTTGAGATCTGATAAGTTTTAGTGATGTACACTTCTTGTTGTGTCTGGGTGAGACATTAACTTGGATCTATGTCCAGTCCCTCATTCTTCCTCTCTGTCACTGTTCTCTTGCTCTGCATCCTGGCCACAAATATTGTCTGACTGCCTTTGCTGCATCATGACATTCTACCATGATTAAAAAGCAGAAATGCCGCTTTGGAGCTGGCTAATCATGGACTGAGTCTCCTTAAAATATGAACTGAATTAAACCTCCTCTTTTCCTTTAATTTGTGGGTGTCCACTATTGTTTACAACAACTTGAATACTCACTAATATATCCTCCTTTTGACAATTGGACAAACCAGATATAGAAGTTGGTATGATGGGTCAAACAAATCAACAAATCAGTTCTCTGTTCTCACAGTTTAACTTTATTTCAGTTTTCTAAATATATGTCTGGTGAACTGTAAATCAGGAAAAATATAGTAAAAGTAGGACACACTACAGAAAAAATATTAACATTGTATATTAACTAATATCTGACCAAATATTATACAGCTGAGCCATTAATTAGTCATACACTGGTCATGAATCCAAAGAAGATGTTTACAATGATTCACACCCTTAACATGATAAATTTTACTATTATCTAATAAATGAGACTTCTTTTAGATGAAACAATTAGAAAATAATGCCAACATTATTCTTTAATAATATGGAAACTACCCTAAGTGAAACAAAGTTTTCTTTAGAAATAAGAATATAGTTAAATAAAGACAGAAACAATTAAAACATACTTTTAAAAATTCATCCATATTAGTCAGTTAGTAGGCATAATGTATTTGTCATTGTACAGAAATTTGACTAGAGCAAGAATGATTTTTTGTGGCAAAGAAAATGGAAATGCAAACATTTTTGTAGTGTTTGAATTAGAAATTAGCATCTTTAGTGATTTACTGGTAATCAAAGCAATGTTGAATCTGCAACATTGACAGATACCAGGCAAAGGAGCTCTCTTGGTCACTTTCTTCTCACTTGAGAAAAATATCCAATGCAAAAACTTAAATGGACAGAAGTTATTCTGGCTCAGGTCCTACAGGCTTCACTCCATAGTTTCAATATTCCACAACATAAAGTATGGTAGAGGAAGGCTGCCAAAAACAATATCCTTCCAGGTCGTACCCTAACTCACCTCTAATCAACACCCATCTCCTAACAGAACTCACTAATGAATGAATCCACTGAGTATAGAACCTCCAACAACACCTTTTGCAACACCTTCCAAAAGTCTCACCTCTGATATAATTGAACAAATAGTTGAGATCGGTTTGCCAATGGCTATGAAACATGATGCATAAAATGAATTTATCTGAGAGATTCAGAGAGAACCCAGATAATATTGCTTGAATCACTAAATCTATTTATTTCTGAAATTAATTGTTTCTTTTATTATTTTAGCCATGCGAGAGAATAAATTTCAAATTTTGCCCAAATAGAGTGAAAATTCTTTTATCAGAATGGAAAGTAACATTGGTTCATAATTTACACAAGCAGAATAAACTAGAATACAAAGACACTGTGTAAGAAAACAAAACTTTAATCACCCACAAGATATTGCAGGAAAATTTTTGAAGGTTCCATATTTTTAGAAAACATTATAAAAACTCTTATTTAAAGTTAATGATTTGATGGTTCCTTGCACTATATTAATTGTTATTATTCAAAAACATCATATTATTTTGTGCTGATACATGTTTCCCTGTAATAGAATCAGAATTATTACTTCAATTGCATGAAATTTTGACCAAAATTTCTCATATATTTTGTTATGTAGACCTTATATTTAGTGTCATTTTTTGTGAATGTTTCCTGTTAAATTATATCTGGATGTCTTTCTCAAACCTGAAGTGCTTGCAGGTAGGGCTTTTTGGAGTCCGGGGACAATGGATTTGTGACACTGGATCCTAGGAGAGTGATTCTACTGAGATGTTTAGCACAGTTATGGGTATGAATGATCGACTTACTAAAGAGGAAAGACCTACTCTGGGTCTGG